CAGGGCACTGGCTGTTCCCTCTGCCTGCCACACCCTTCCCCAGACACCCCAAGCCCAACTCCCTCAGCTCCCTCAAATCTTTGCTCAAAATGGAATGGATTATGAGGCCATCCCTGTCCATTCTTCGAAACAAAATCTTCCCCCTTTTCTGCTATCATCCCGCTTTTCTGCCACTACTCCCCTGCCCTGGTTTCATTTCCATTTTCCTATACTTTACAATATTGTTTTATTTGGAACATTTGGGGTTCCCTGCCTGGCCTCCTCCCCCAGCGAGAACACCAGCCCTGAAGGGCCAGGACCCCCATCTAAGTTGCTCACTGCCGTTTCCAAAGAGCCTAGCAGCATGTCGGATACCCAGCGGGAGCTGATGTACCTTTGCTGACTGGGGGAGTGGAAGGTTCAGGGGAAGAGCTGAAGACGGGTAGGTATCTTGAGTTCAGACTTCAAAACCTTAGAAAAGGCAGAGTTTCTTCTTTGCTTCACCTCAGTTTGGAAATTAAAGCCCAGCAGGGTGGCAGTGAGACAGGCCATGGGTGGGAAGCAAAGACGCGCCTTTCGATGCTCCTTGGCTTGCTTGGGTTTGTGTGGAAGGAGCACCCGGCCCCCACCCCAGGGGAGATGGTACAGGCTGCGGAGGCTTTCTGGCCTGTGACAGGTAGGCAGATGGGCTCCCGGTGATGTGCCAAAAGGAATGGCTTATGGTACTTATCGTGACCAGGCCAGGGCCTTGGAGATGGTCCCAGGGGCGTTCCAGACTCCTGCTTCTTCAAGCAGCACCCCTGTGCCTGCTCTGACCTCTGACCGCCTGCCACGGTGCACACGATCTCTCTGAATGGGGGACGCGATGTTACTGAGCCACTTCCTCTGAGGGGTGTCTCAGCCCACACTTGACTTCACATTCTAAGTGACCGTCATCTCCACCATCGCGCTAGCGACCTGGGGAGGGAGCTAAGGGGGCTGATGTGACCGGATGTGAATAGCCTCCTGCTTTATGATTTGCACACACAGCTGTCCCTGCTCGTAAACCGCCGTGCGGAGCCAGCCGACCCAGAGCCCGACCGCAGTGGGTGGGCAGCAGGCTACAGGTCCCCCGTAAGTGCCAGCGGGAGAGGGAAAGGGGCGCTCCCTGAAGCCACAGGGGATACGTGGGAGGTGGGGGCAGAGGAGGAAGTCAGCCCGGGGTCACTTGGAGATTCGAACACAGCAATGAGGACTTTGAATTTCACTTCAAAGGGCCCGGAGAGTTATAGGAGGATTCTGAGCTGAGCAGGTGCCATGATTAGGTTTGTGCCTTGGGGAAATTATCTTAATATTTATGGATGGGGCAGGCCATTGGCATAGCAGTTGGGCCCCTGCCTCCCACATCAGAGTATCTGGTTTGAGTCTCGGCTAATCCAATTCCAGTCACCCCAGCTTCCTGGGAATACGCACCCTGGGAGGCAGCAGGTGGTGGCTGGAGTACTTGTATCCCTGCCGCACACGTGGGAAACCCAGACGGAGTCCCACTTCCTGGCTTCAGCCTGGCCTCGCCCTGACTGTTGTGGGCAGATCCCTCTCCATCTGTTTGCCTGCCCTTTTCTGTGTCTGCCTTTCAAATAAAAAGAAAAGAAAGAGAAGACTTTAAAATATGGATCTATAGAAGGAAAGCAAAGACCTAAGAGAGTTGTTGGGTACCGTGCGAAGCCATACTGCTGGGCAGGCAGCACCTCCAAAAGGCAGCCAGTGTGGGTCGCTGACGTTTAGGGCACTTAGGAGGTTTGGCTGCTTTCAAAACTTCACCTCTGCTGACCCTCTTCATCTGTTGTCTCACCTGCAGAGCATCACGGAGCCCCCCCTCCCCCCAGACGGGCTGGGATGCAGGAAGTAGAAGTCAGGCAGGGAGCCCGGGAGGAGGTGGGCAGGGCGGGCAGCGAGCAGGCCCTCTTTGCAGTGCCCGATGATAAACACGGTGTGATCACTGGGGTTGCTCTGCCGTGGTCTGGTGTGGCTGCGGCACTCCGTGGTGAGGGATCGAGGCACCTGGGACTGAGTCCCATGGTCCAAGGAGTCCACCATGAACTGTGTGACTTTGAGGAAATCCCCTTCCCTCTCCAATTTAGTGTCTGCCTAGGCCACATAGGGAAATGACTCTCTTTATTTGAAAAGCAGAGAGAGGGATCTTCAAAAATCCACTGGTTCATTCTCCAGTTGTCCACAGTAGCCGTGGCTGGGCCAGGCCAAAGCCAGGAGCCCAGAACCCAATCCAGGTCTTTCATGTGGGTGGCAGAAATCCAAATACTTGAGCCTGCACATGCCACCTCCCAGGGTGTGCATTAGCAGGAAGCTGGAATCAAAAGCAAAGCCAGGATTCGAACCCAGGCACTCCAATATGGGACATGAGCATCCCAAGTGGTGTCTTTAACCAAAGCACCAAACCCTGCTCCAGGAAATAGTTCCTGATTCCTGTATTTCACACGGATTCTGTAGGATCGCCAGAAACCATGTGTCATGGCTCTGTAGCTACTGGAGGGGAAAAAAGAACACCAAGGTGCCCTTGCCTCCCCTGTCCACCCAGATCCTGTCTCCCATAACTGGGATCCGGTCCAGTCTCAGGGCATCTCACATAAAAGGATGTCCCGTGCCCAACTGGAAACATCAGTCCCAGCTGCTCCACTCCTGGTCCAGCTTCCTGCTAATGCACCTGGGGAAAGCAGTGGAACATGGCCCAAGTACCTGGATTCCTGCTACCCACATGGGAGGCCCAGGAGTTCTAGGTTCCTGACTTTGGCCCAGCCCTGGATGTTGTAGGCACTGGGAGAGTGAACCAGCAGATGGAAGATTCTCTCTCTCTCTCTCTCTCAAATTAAAAAAAACCCAAACTTTTAAAATGAAATCCTCCATTATCCTGATACCAGAAATAATCACAACAATATTTGCAGACTTCCTTCCCATTTTGGATCTACCCATAAATACGATAGATATTTGAATGAAATTAAATAAATGTTTGAAAGGAAGGTTTCATTACGTATCCAGGATTTGGGTACCCATCTTATTTATTTACCACTAAATCATTAGTGTTTTCTTATATCCTCAAACGGTTTTGAAATTTGCGTGAGTGCACACTGTTTTATGCTGGAGATGTAACTACAACTCATATATCTCATCTATTTAACTGCTCCATGACTTGACACTGGAGCTGCACTGTTCCACCAAAGACTTTGCTCCTTCTCACCTTTTCTTCTTCCCTCTCGCCTGCTATCTTCCTGGTCCCCATCACTGATTGCCCTCCTGCACCCAGGTACACGCCAGGCAGAATGGGAATCGCAATGTGGGGACACTGTCCCTGGCCTGGAAGGCTACTTGTCCATTGGAGACAGATGACAATTCCCCTATGCCAAGGGTTGTGTCCCACAAGGTCTGTGTCTTGGAAACTCCATCTCCAGTGTGAAGTGGGAGCTTCCGAGGTGAGGGCGTGGCCCTCTCAGAAGCGCATCAGTCAACGCAGGTGTGGGTTCCTGATTCAAATATCAGCTCAGCCCCTTGTCCCTCTTCACACATATGTGTTCTCTTGCCTTGCCGCTTTCTGCCATGGGCTGATGCCATGCAAAAGGCCTCACCAAATGCAAGCTGCTCAACCGTGGGCTTGCCAGCCTCTAGGATTGACTCTCTGTGCTTTCTAAGTTACCTGGTCTCAGGGATTCTGTTCTGCACAAAGTGGACCAAGTTACCCCATATGAAAGCATCTACACTTTCAGAAACAGAAGCCAGGAAACAAGTTAGGGTGCACGTGGGGGATGGTGTTTCCAGATGGGGCTGGACAGCTCCACCAAGAGGCCAGGTGCCAGGGCCAGGAATGCACGTGCCGAGCCCAGCACTGTGGTCAGGGGCAGCCAGCACTAGGGAGGATGTGGAGTCCCCAAGGCTGTGTCCAGCCTCCTGCCCTCCCAGAGCCTGGCTTCCCAGAGGAGGACAGGACTACAACTGGGTAGTTGGTAAGGCCGCGGGCACCTGGTACCCTGGGGCTCCCTGAAGAGGCAGGAGCTGGGGGCAGCCTGTGTACAGAGATTGGCAGAGTACTTGAGAAGCAGAGCATGTGTGTGAGGCAAGGTCCCAGAGGCAGACCGAGGCCAGGCTAGGTTTGATCATCGAAGAACTCTGAGAACCTTTCAGCAGGGAGAAGCCGGAATGGGAGCTCCATGTTATCGACTGTTCTGGGTTTGGAGGGATGATTGGTTTGGAGAGCACCCAGCGTGGATGTCCGCAGGCTGTTGCCTCCTCTGGCTGGGGCGGTGGTAGGGAGACGGGAAGAAGTGGAAAGCATTAGAGCCATGTTTAGGAGCCAGAGTCACGAGGTCCAGGTCAATGCTGAGTCTCCAGGAGACCCCCGTTAAAATGCACCTGGGGCTTACAATGATTAACTTGTGCGCTTGCAGGGGCTGCTGCTCAGCTGGGAGTCTCCTTACACAAAGTCCCCTACAGGACTTCTAAATGGGAGGGGCTAAGGCCCCACAGAAGCGAGGCCAGCACGCGGGTTCTAGATGTGTGTGCGCGGGTAAGGCCCGGCCTTCGCCCCCCGTGTGGCTGAGAACAGCAGGTGGAATAACTGGAAGAGCCTTCCAACCCCAGCCGCCTATCACAGGTGCTTGGCTGGTGACGGAAGCCGGCTTCCCATACAGAGCCATCGGGCAGGAAGGTGGCGGAGCGTGTGCGCGGGCCAGCGCCCCTGTCTGCAGCCGGACTCGGTTCCCGAGACCGGCCGGCACGGGCAGCCCTGGCTGCTGTGCGAGTTTCGGACGAAGTAGGGTCTGGGTCTCCTGTGGCCGCGGGCGCAGCGCGAGAGGCGAGCCCTCCCGCGGCGACGGCCAGCCCCGCGCCCGGCTTCTCCTTGACGCGCCCGGCAGCTGCTTCCCCGTCTGTGGGGCTGCGAGGGCGGCAGCCGGCAGGCGCCTGGGCAGGGCCACGGGCCAGCAAGCCCCGGTGGTGGAGGGCAGGCTCCAGGCGTGGGGTTCCCGGCCCCGCCAAGCAGGCAAACTGCTGACAAGGGCAAAGCCACGTCGCCAGACTTGCGGGGAAACTGCCTGAGCTTCGGGTTTAATGAGGAAAATGGGATGTTTGGGTTTGGTTTCGTCTGGGATTTGGCGGATGCACGCGGCCCGCCTCCCATCGCGGGTTGGGCCCCCGGCGGCGGCGCAGGCGAAGTCGGGGGGCTTTAGGACCCGGCGCTGAGCGCTCGGACCCCGGTGGCCGTCCCGGGAGAGGCCCGCGCGGGCCGAGGCTTGAATGGGAGGCCGGCGACGTCGCCGCTGAAAGGCCGGCGGCGGAATAGCTCTGCCGTCGCCAGGCAACCGCCCTGACGCAACGCGGAAAAAAAGGTCCCCTAGCAAAAGAATAGTGCGGAGAATTGAGAGGCGCGCGGGAGCCGGGCGCGGCGGGGACGGCGGCCGCACCAGGAGGTGGGTGCGCACCGGTCAGGCGCGGAGACCTCGCGGGGGCCGGGGCGGGGATGGCGCGGGCTGGGCGGCTCCCCGCGGGGCTGGCGGCGGCGGGAGCCGCCCGATCCTGTCGCCGTCCCCAAGGGGACGCTGCCCGCGGCGGGGCTGGGGTCCCGCCTCGCCCCCTGCCCAAATCGCGGGGCAGCCACGGCCGGGCTCCATCTTCCGTCTCCTCGCCGGCCTCTCCCAGGGCCAGGATTCCGGGTGGAGACTTGGCGCGCGGGCGGGGGGTGGAGGGAGGGTCTGTGGTCTGAGAGAGAGGGACCCCCAACTCTGAATCCCTGAAAATCTACCTACCCCCAGACCACGCGTGACCGCAGCCCACCCCTTCTGCCCTGTCTACTTGCCGGCCCCAGGGAGGCGGCCGCTGAACTCGGGAGAAGTGACCCGGGGCACTTGGGCCCAAGGGTGCTGTAGGCGTGAAGCCGGGGTGGTCTCAGGGCGCTTACAGCCAGAGGGGCCTCTGAGAGGATCCATCCTGAAACTGAGAACAACCCTTGAACCAGGGCGAGGGGCACCGAATCACGCAGCGGGGTAGGGATGGTGGTGGATGTGTGGGAACCCCTGCCCGCAGCTGGTTTTTATTCCCCATGGTACTTGGAGGCAGCTCTGGGCGCGGCGGCTAGGAGAAGACCTGGAAGGTGGGTGAGCTATGGTCGCTATCCCGTCCCCACAGGCAGTTTCTCTTCAGTCAAGTTTCCCCAAAGTCTGGGCGGTTCCTGGAGAGTCCCAGACGATGAGGCCAGGTCCTCGGGCGCAGGGACCAGAGTGCCCACGGCGGTGAAATTGCAGAACAGCTTCCCTTTGCCACACAGGAGGGAGAGTGGAGCATGTTGGCCAGGAACTGGGAAAGCGGAGGCGGCCGTGGCGCCAGTGCCCTGACAGCCCTGTCTGTAGGACAAGGGGCTTCTGCCAGTGCGTTTGGGGGCGGGGGGGCTTGGCCGAGCGGCGCCTGCCGTCCTTACAGTGGACACAGATGACAGCTCCCCTGTCCCCACCGTGCCCTGCTGAGCGCCTTGGCATCTACAGGGTGCTCTGTCCTCACACCGCCCTGCGAGGCGGGGACTGAATTATCTGCCTGTTGCCAATGGGATTCCCAGGGGCTAAGTAACTTGGTGGTACTCACACTGCTGGCGAAAGAGCAGATTCAGGGTCAAGTGCTCGACTCCTGAGACTCCTAAGACAGTGCTCTCAGGAGTAGAACAGGGGAAGGCTGCTTCAGGGAACGCAAGCGGAGTGAGGTCCAGGGAGGGGGAAGACAGCAGTCCCCAGGTGGCAGCGAGCCAGGGGGTGGGCTCCTCTCTGGACCCTCGAAGCTGCCCGGCCATCCCCAGGGCCCTGTGCACCCAGAGACGCCATTCCTCGCACCAGGAGCCTCAACAGCTTTGCCGTGGGGCCTAGCCAGGCTCAAGCCTTCTCTTCCAGCAGACAGAGGGGCCACACCCCCTTCTCCTTGCAGACCCAGAGACCCCCTCCTCCTGTGCACTTGCTCCTGTCCTCCCAATTACCTGCATGGTTTCCTCTAAATTGCCCGCGCCTGCTTCCATGTCCACCGGCTTGGCCTCCCTCCAGGAGGGACTGAAATGCATTAAGGCAGTGCCTGTTTGCTGTGAGAGAGCCACAGCACCCCAGGCCGGTGAGCAAGAACCTACTTGTTAGGCTCCGCACACACACACTGCTGGCTGTGCCTCTAGGTAAAACTTGCTGGCAGAAAACCGCTGTGGCCCGACAGGAGTGTCTGGAATTCCCAGAGGCCTCTGGGAGCTGTGCCATCCTCCACAACGGCTCTGTGGGATGTTGGGTTGCTTGCATGGGTGGAAGATCAGTGATATTTTGAGCTGTTTGCGCCTCGATTTACAGCCCAGGGTCAGGGAGTCCTCACCTGCCACCAAATGGAAATCCCTTGGGATCAACTGGGCTGGTTCTTAATATGCAAATGCACTGTGGAACCCCACCTGGTTTCCCATGTGGGTGCAGCGGCCCAAGCACTCGGGTTCTCTGCTGCTGCTTTCCCAGGTTCATTAGCAGGGTACTCTGCGCCCCATTTCTTCAGGATGGTTTCTCCAGTGTGGCTGGAAATTCCTTTCAGGGCTATCCTGGTTCACTTGTGGGACCTGGTGACCCTCCCTCATAGGCTTGTCCCTTGGGACCTGGAGGGGTGGGCCAGGTCAGAGCCTGTTGTCCATGTTGAAGGGCAGGCGTGTAATGAGCCAGGCGCTGGCCTCTGTGGTGGCCACAGCGTCAGGCCTTCTTGAAGGTTGGACTTGTACTTCCTCATTCCAAGAAATCAGTGGAGCTGGGAACAGGAACATCAGGGGGAGGGAACCCTCAGGGGTGATGACCCCAGGAAGCTTCCAGATGAGGGTGCTTGGTAGGTGGTCACTTAGGGACCCAGTCCCCACTGTCAGCCATGAAGTCACAGGTGACACTGCTTGCCCGGTCCTATGAGCATTTACACACTCTGTGCGTGGACACCGGGCTAGGTGAGACCCGACCTGGGCGCATTCAGCAGACAGATGTCTCTCAGGTGCAGTTGTGTTGTGTTGTTTGTCTGACAGCCGCACTGAAAAGCTGGCAAGTCTTATCAGATTTGCATGAAAGCAAGCCTCAGACCAAATTCTGCCACACGTGTAGACATTTTTAACCAAATATTTGTAAACAAGTCCGACTCCGTCAAGACAGCGTGTCCTGTGGCATTCTGGCTCTCCGGGGCCCTGCACACACCTCCCTGGGGATCTCCCCAGATTCTTCCACCTGCTCTTTCCAAAGTCAAGTGTCTCAGAATTCATGTGGGCAACCCACATAGCTTGAATACCTGTGCCCTTGCCAGTGCGGGTGCATTTCTAGCCTTTACTTTGCTAATTATTAAATGCCTGGTGCTGACCCCAGGTGAAAATAGCTGAGTGTTCCTGCTGGAGCTGCCTCTGCAGTGGCAACTCTGGGAGTATGAGGGTGGAGGGTGAGGAGGAGGAGGGTGCCCCAATTTAAATGCACCCGGAGTGAATGCAGCTGGGTTGCAGCTAGCCTAAGGAAACCCAGGTCTGTGAAGGCGTTTAGGGTCACTAACATCCAGCCAAGGCCCCGCCCTCAAGCGTGGCTGAGGAGTGACTGCACTTTGTGCAGTCCAGGTTACAGAGCTGGAGGCGAGGGGGCGCTCTGCACCACGTCCTGGAGCACACAGACACTGCCCAGCTGTCTCTGAGCGAGAGGCCAAGGAGAGGGCCGGCTCTGTGGAGTCGCAGGCAGGGGGTCACAGCCCTAGTCGAGGTGTAACCAATAGCTCACATACACTTGATCTCATTCAGTCTTCCAAGACTGTGAGGTCATTTGCATTATGATCCCATTTTATAGATGAAGAACCTGAGGCCTAGGGGCGTGGAGTGACTGAGGTTGCAGAACCAGTCGGTGGTGGGGCCCCAGCACCCAGCTCTGCCTCTGTGACCTGCTCCATCTCGTTCTCCTGCTCCTGACTCCTTGCCTCCATGGGTTATGAACACACAAGGAAGGGGGCAAGGTCACAACCCCACTTGTCGTCCTGCCTCAGGCCAAACGTGCCCTCCAAGCCACAGTGTGGGCCCAGCACTGCTCCTGCCTAGGCCAGGCTGGAACCGGGTCACATCCCTAGGGCGGGCTCTGCTGGGACACCAGGAAAACTCTGAGGACCCTCCAACCCCCAAGGGACAGCCCTTCTGATTGAGTCTGGGGTGCTGTGAAACCTCTCGGGAAGTCCTTGCAGAACCGCCGGGCTCTGGCACCTGTGGAGTGAAACAGGAAGCAGATCGTCAGCGCAAGTTCCCACGTGAGCTGGAGTTTGTTGACTCTGCTTGTTTGAAGTTGAAGCCAATTAGCCTGTGGCTCTGCCGCGTCCTAAGTCTGCTTCCTATAGGGGCTGAGACAAGGACAGGTAGGAGAGCCCCTGGCGGGCCACAGCCCACGGGGCAGAGTGTCAGAGGCCTTAGCTGTGACGCGGTGCCTGACCTGCACCCTTTCTTGTTCGTGGAGCCAGAATGCTGGTCCCAGCTGCCCTCCGCTTCCCTCTCTGCAAATCGCGGTACGTCGCGCCTGCTGTCTGCTCCCTCATCCCCACTGCCAACGTGGCCTTCGGCCAGAAGAATCCTGCAGTCACAGTCACGTGCGGCTCTTGGCCGGGGTGACCACAGGCTGCCTTAGCACCCCGTCCTGGGCAGCCGGGCCCTGTCCAGCACATTTCTCACGGGCCCCATAAGCGGGTGCTCAGGTGCCCAGGAACCTCTCCCTGCCTGTCAGAGCAGCCCCAACCCAGGGCCCCGCAGCCTTGGGAGAGATGCGGTGGAGGCGCCGGGGTCCTGGCAGCCCCGTCTCCCTGCAGCAGCCTGGTGCTATCTGCTGTCCTTTCGTGCAGTCATAAATTAGATCTACATCTCCCGGGAGCCACAGCCTCTCCGTGGCCAACGGGGAAGCACAACTCTTTCTTGGCGGTTTTCTTGGCAACTTCTTTCACTGGGCACAATGAAAGATTTCCACGCAGGCAGCCAGGGCCATCAGTTATTCAGCGTGGACGTTGGGTTTTGAATTTGCAAAGGTCTGAACAAACATTTTTTTTTCCCAGCAAGAAGCAGCAACCTTTCCCCATTTTCTAGACAATAAAGCAAGGCTTGAGTTGGAGTCTGAAGACTTGGGTCCATGCCCAGCCAGCCTGGTGCCCAGAGCCTTGTGACCCTGGGCAAGTGGTGTGACTCTCAGGTTTGCAGGTTTTCTGCAATATCACTCTGGACGAAGGCCCCTTGGGCCCAAGCTGTGGAGGGGGAGATTTGTAACTTGTAACTTGCAGCATGATTTACAAATGTTTGTGATTGCACTTGTTGTTCTGGAAGCTTTGCCCTCCGGGTTGAGGTATAACCAGTGATTAGCCCGGGGCCCTGCCAACCATAAGCTTCACTGGAACTGCCCCCCGCCCCCGGGGAACGTGGAGAATTATTGGGTTCCTCTGCTCACTGCGCGGGAAGCGTGGCTCGGGCTGGGATGCCGTGGTAACCTCACCAGCTGCTGTGATCCGAGACCTGGTGCATGTGAGGCTGGGAGGAAGTAGGGATCCTCACTCCCCAACGACACGCCCACAGAGGGAACAGCAGAAGCTCTTGGAGCAGAAGTGAGTTGCGATGGTCACGCAGGGTGGGATGGGGCCCCTGGGCTGACGCCTAGGCTGGGTGGGTTCAAAATGGCTCTCACTCCCATCTCCCAGCAGTGCTGCTGGAACCCCAGAGGCAGGCACCTGGGGTGCTGCTCAAGCAGGAAAGTGGCAACTGAGGGAGGTAGCCCCCTGGGGCTCCCTGGCCTTCCCCAGGGTCTTGTATGGGGCCCTACCCATCCTCCTGTCCTGCAGGCCACCAGTTGTGGGTCCTGCTGTCAAGGCTACCCCCTGGCACTGGCCCAGGAGCCAGAATCACGATGGACAAGTGAAATGAGTTCCATCCTGCTGGGGTTCTGGAGACTCCATGGCTTGTCCAGGGTGTTGCGGCAGAAGTGTGGCTGGGCTGGGTCTCCTCCCTGTGAGTGAGGTCCTGCCTGCAGGCGATGACCCCAGCCCGGGAGACAGGCCCTCGCTCTTGGAGCAACACGTGGCAGGCACCTGCATCCCACCCTCCTCTCCTGCCTGTGTCCCAGAGGACCAAGGCATTGCCTTGGGAGTATCGAACTGTTGCTTGTCCCCAGGGTGTCTCAGAACGCTGGACCCACATGGAAACAGTAGAAAGCACTTGTTCCTGTTACTTTTCTACGTAAGAGGCCACTGGGGAACTTGGTCTGGGGCATGGGTTCTGGGGAGTCCCAGGCTGTAATGAAAGTGCCTTCACTGAGCTGCTCCTGGCCTTGAGCAGTGGTAGAGGTGATACCCTTGGGGTATCATTTCAAGGGCCAAACGACATTGGCGTGGCATCTGCTGTCCAGTAGCACTAGGGAATGGCTTTCTTTCCCGTTTCCCTTGCTTCTAAGAATTTTAATCTTTCTGTATTCAGATAGAAAGCTGGTCACTCTTGTATTTCTTTTATTTATTTATGCAGCAAATATGCATTGAAGCTGAACTGGTTCTAACAGCCAGTGCCTATGAGAAGTGTGGCAAGAACCAGAGAGAGTCGGGCCACTAAAGCAATCTCAGTGCAGTGAGAGTCCAGGTTGTGTCTCATGGCTCAAAAGATCAGTAGTGCCCGTCCCTGTGAGGAGCTGGGTGCCTGGGCAGGATGGGACCCTCCCACAGTTCAAGGTCATCCAGGCCGGTGTGCAGGGAGCATGAGGACGCAAGTGCTGGGAGGACTCAGAGAAAGAGTGGCCTGCAGGACTGGTGCCCTAGAAGGCTTCAGAGAGAAAGTGAACCCTCCTCTGGGCGTAGAGCAGAGCAGGACGTGGCTAGCTGGGGGTGGCAGGGGTTCCCAGACTGTGGATGGCACAGACAAAGGCACAAAGCAGACTGCCTGGGAAGGCCTCATTCTTTTGTTCATTTATTCTTTCATTCACTTACATTCTCATTCATGCATTGGGTACGTTGGTTGAGCACCTACTATGTGCCAGGCACTGCTCTGAGAGCCCTGCCCTCCTGGAGCTCCTGTTCTAGAGGGCGAGTTACTCCAAGAGCAAGGTGGCAGCACAGAGTGGGTAGGAGGAGGCAGAGCCGGTGTCTGCGAGCAGATGCGAGAGAGGGCAGCAGGTGTGTGAGAGCAGGGCGCACAGCCACGCCTCCTGCAGAGAAATGGATGCATGAGGGCTTGCTATGGGAGGAGAGATTGGGCAACAGAGGGAGGCCCTTCAGGGAGAGGGAAGTTGAGGGTTGCCCTGGGCAGGCAGTGTGCATCCCAGACGGGGCTGCACCTGCTGCCGCATAGACCCTGCGTGCAGTTGAGGAAGACCCCAAGGAATCATGTCCTGACTGAACCTGATGTCACCCCTGTGCCTGACCACCAGCCCTACCCTGCTAGAGGACACGAGAGAGCAAGACACCATCTGTGCCACGCCCACACACGCATGCACACATGCTGGGGCCAGGGGTCTGCCTCTGCAGGATGCCATTCCCCCCATCTCAGGTTTTGCCCAAGACTGGGAATAATCACAGGCCTGGGAAGGGAACAGATGACTGGCATAGGCCAGACTAGCGGGGTCCCTCCTGCTTCAGTCACCATGGCAACCTCTGAGGAGGGGGAAGGCGCTCTGGGCAGCTCAGGCTGCTGTCAGCTGCGCTGCGGGGTGCAGGGCTGCAGCCCCCTCCTCTGAGCTGGTCAGATGCCGCACGTCCGACAAGGGCAGGCGGTTGGATCCCAGCCTGCACCACTGAGTTTGGTACAGCCTGGGGGTGCTCCATGTGAGATGAGCAGTGGGTTTGGGATGCAGCCCAGGCAGAGAAACCCGGGGAGCCCCCGGGCCAACCGGGAACCCGAGGCCCAGCCATGGCCCTCTCTCCCACCTGGAGAAAAGGGATTCGCCTCCCAGAAAATGAAAGGAGAGCGTGCAGGTGGGAGCTGTGGGTGGGCCAGCCAGGATGGTTTTCCGTAGGTAAAACCCACCGAGTCTGCCAGGCCCTTTCCCACGCTTTCATTCATCCCTTCCCTGACTGCGTGGCAGAGGCTGTGACAGCCCCGCAGGGTCAGACTCTCCCTGCCCTTGGCCTGGGGATGGGGTCCCACTTCCCACTTGGTGCCCAGGCCCTCTGCAACCTGGAAACCCCCACAGGGCCTGGCTGGCACCAGGACAACAGGGAGGCAGCATGGGTGCCTCACTCCCTCTCCTGCCCTCTCCACTCCCTCAAGTGCCAGTGAGGAGTTAGGGGACATCGTCCTGAGCTAGGTAGCAGCCCGGTCAGCTGAAGGGCTTAGACTTGGTGATACACGCAGTGCACTTGACCCAAGAACATAGACTCCTATGCACATTCGTGTGAACCTCTGCCCACTGTCCAGGCCTGGACAGCACAGACAGTGTCAGGGGAAGACATCCCATAGCCCCCAAGACTGCTTTCTGAGCAAATACAGATTCTGCAGGGGCCCAAGACAAGGTGTGGCCATTCTCCATCCCAGAGGACCGGGTGAGGCCTGAGACAGAGTGTTCCCCACATGGGTAGGACTGAGGCCTGAGGTCACCAGCCCCGTTCCAATGATATGTTCTGGAAGAAGGCAGATGCAGTAGCCATACGGAGTGTGGACAAGAGGCTCAGGCCGTGGAGCACTGGGGCCTTAAGCCATCACCCGGACTCCCTGCCTCAGTTTGCCCAGCCACACAATGGGATGGGAACAGTGGCCTGGTCTTGCTTGCAGCATGAGTGTGGCCCACAAACACGGCTCAGGTGGTTCTCAGTGACGGGTGGCCAGAGTCATGGGGCAGTGCTGGCTGTCTCCAAGGCCCCACGTGGTTCCCAGAGGATGCCTTTGACTGTTCAGATAGAGAGGAGAGAGGGATGCAGACTCAGCTTCCCTGGTCCCGGTCTTCCCCTCCACCCCACGAGGAGCCGTGCAGCTGCCTCCAGGCTTTGTTCTGCCAGGTACAAACTGAGACCTTGGGCCAGTTCCTTCTTGTCTCTGTGCCTTAGTTTCTTCATCTGTACAATGGGTTGATCACGGTTTGTGCTTCACAGGGGCATCATGCAAAGTAAAGGAGATCCTGTTTTCTTACAGTGCCTGGCACAGATGAGCATGGATTTCTTATTTTTGGCACCAAGATAAACCTAGCTTTTAATTCCATTTTAATGAGCGTTTTGAAGTACCTTCACATTAAGTGCCTGATCAGTCTCTGCAAACCCATTATTTAGTAGGATCATGGTCAGGAAGCAGGGTGGACCCGAGTTGCATTTTCGGGGGGTGGCTTGGCGTCAGGACAGAGGTGACACTGGATGGATCCCAGTGACACGTTCAGGGATGGTGTCATGTCTTCAGGCCCAGGCCGAGGGCTGGGAGTGCAGAAGTCGGGGCGGGGGCAGCTGTGGGAGATGGGGACGGAATGGAGATGGCCCCAGCTCTCCCACAGCAGCGCCGTGTTCCAGGGCGCCGGATCCTGCTGCATGAAGTCAGGATGAGCAGGCGAGGGGAGGAGGTGTGTGAAAGTGGCCGTGAACTGCAAGGCGCCATTACTGTGGTTTTCTCCCAGTGCTGGCCCGTACTAAATAAGGCTCCCTTTTCCTGGGGGAGGAGCCCAGCTGCAGCACTGCTGCTCACGGGATCTGGGGCCTCGGTTTGCTCCCCTGTAAAATGGGGGTTCTGGTAGCATCAGTGCTGCTGCTTCCAGCCTGCAGACACAGACACGAGGTGACCTGGGGCTGGAGTGAGTTTTGTGAACCTGGGAGGTAAGCGGAGAGCAGGGCGGCCCCTGGGAGGCAGCCCACAGTGGCGGCTGCTCTGTGCTGTGTGCACTCACTCTGCATCTGCTAAGGGTTAGCCCTTTCTGCTGGGGCCGCCACACTCCTGAGACAGCCCAGGGCTCACCCCCCCAAAGGAGGGCAGCAGACCAGGCCAAGCAGCCCTTCGGTTGCTCGCCCCGATTCCTGGATGTTCAGCAGGAGCCCCGGTGGGAAGGCCACAAGACCCAAGGCACAGCCACTTCTGCCCAGGCTCCGAGGGCGGCGTTTGAGCCAGGAGCAGGACCAGGGTCATTGCACATTTGGAGGATGGTGATTCTCACCCTCCTCAAGCGTTATCTGCCGTGGACTGTGCGTTAGCAAACGTATCAGCCGTGACTGTGGGCAGGTTCCCTAGATCTCATCAAGAGGCTGGTGATCACCTGACCTGTGCCCCTCAGCTGGAGGTGGCGCCACCCCCTCCCTGGGATACCCAAGAACAGGAGGGTCAGAGCCGCCTTTGGAAGTCGCATTCCTCTCAGTCCTGCTTTGTGCCTCCCCAAATGACTTGCGTGTTCCCCTCATCTCGCCCAGGGCTCTCGGTTGCAAGCAACAGCGAGAGGCCGTTCTCAGCACTCAGGGTCTGGTAGAGAAGAGCAGTGAGAACTCAAGAGTGACAGTGAGCCCAGAGGTTGTGCACCAGCCTGGAGCTGGACTGCAGGGGTCCCAATCCGGCTTCACCACCTACCAGCTCTGTGACCAAACCAGTCGACAATCGGCAATTCACCGTGCCGTGTGCTCTCATCGCTGCACACACACAGTCCAGCCTGGGCAAATGCAGGAAGGCTTCCTGGAGGAGAAAAATCCTTGAGAACTGAGAAGAGAAGGGAAGGAGCAAGGTACAGGGAATATCGGGAGTAAGCGAGACTGTGGTGTTCAGGGGCACGGGTGTTGAGCGAGGAGCTGGGAGGATTGCGCAGCGCTGAGAAGAAATGAAAGTGTTCTGGTGCAGACCCCATGGCTGGAAGAAGCAGGCCTGGGGAGAGAGTGAGTGAGACGGGGAGAGCTGGTCGGCAGCTCCCGCAGCCTTCCCTGTGCTGGGAGCCCGGCAAGGACGTGTGGAGGCCTTCCAGGTGAGCTGATGAGGTCATGATGAGACCAGGTGTTGGCCAAGACAGAGCCGCGCCACCTGGCTCCTCCAGCAGCCACAGGAATTAGCTCCGGGCTGAGACGCCTCCTGCCAGGGAGCTGGGGAGCGTGTTTGAACAGCAGTCCCGTGGTGCAGTGTGGCATGTGGGCACCGGCCCACGGCTGCTATAGAAGGGCCGATGCACTCCCAAGCTTGTCTTTCCCTCTGGGGGCCAGCCTGGGCCAGGTACGACTCAAAGGACCCCGCCTCGCCGCTCCAGCTGCCCGGGGCCCAGGGCTGCCTCCCCTGCTTGCCAGGTTAGAGGCAGAGAAGGCCTGTTTGTTTGGGGTGCTGAAGGGCTCTGCCCCTGGGGCCTGGTTTGTCCCACGGGAGGGGCTCCTCCCAGGGAGCTGTCCAGGTTGGTGTCTGTTCCCCAGCACCTGCCGGCATGTCCCTGGGCTTGCAGGGGTGACAATCCAGCTCCACTCCCAGGCCCAGCTGGAGGAGAGGGCGAAGCCGCTCAGAGCCTCTTTGGGCATCAGGGCTGGCAACTGGGAGAACAGATCCTGTCGACGCAAACCCTGCTGTGGGTGTGCCGGGCCGGCAGGGGTTGCTCCAGGGTTGAAGGCTCCATCCCAGCCAACTTCCCCCACCACACCCTCTGAGATGGTGAATTCCAGGGCTGGGGTGCAGCTCAGTGGTGAAGACACCTGTGTCTCATATCTCAAGTTCCTGGGTTCCATACCTGGTTCTGGCTCCTGGCTCCTGGCTCCAGCTTTCTTCTAATGCAGACCGGGGAGGCAGCAGGGATGGCTCAAGTGACGAGGCACCATGACGGGATGCTGATGGGTCACGTCATCTTCACAGTATTGCAGAGTGCTCTGTGTTAAGAACTCTGGACTTGTTACCTTGTGTAACCCTTGGTGTCACCTTTGAAGCTGATAGTATCATCCCCAGGGCCAGCTTCTTGGGCATGGGACCCAGGTAGCAGCACAGGACCCCTTGCTTGGCTTAATGTTGTACTGTCACCACCTTGAAATTCTTAGGATTTGATTTTGAGAGATCGATCCTATCTGTTGTTTCACTCCCAAAATGCCCACAACAGCTGGTCAAAAGCCAGGAGCTCAACCCAGGTTTCCCATGTGGATGGCAGGGACCCAGTCGCTGGAGGCCTCACCACTGTCTTCCAGGGTCTGCATTAGCAGGAGACTGGGGCCGGGAGTTGAAGCCAGGCGTGCAGATGTGAGACGCAGGCATCTTAACCACTAGGCCAAACGCCTGCTGCCTTTGGGAATTTTTTTAGGGCAGCCCTCAAACTCTGAGGAGGAGGGGCTGGGTCAGGATCAGGTGACTGTGTGCCAGGGCCCCACTCCTTGCACTTGCCCACACCTAGCCTCAATGTCTTCCTCTGTGAGATGGGCTTATTTTGCCTGCCCCTTGGGGCTACCATAGGTTCAAGCATAGCATATTGTTGTACACACAGGGTTTCCATCAAGCTCAGCAGATCCAGGGTCATGATGAGCTCCCTGGCACTCCTGGTAGTGCCCCAACCTGGCCATGTGATGCCACACACTTCAGCGCCTCCCCCCAAGAGGAGACCCTCGCCTCGCAGCAGGGGACGCCCTTTGCGTGCTGCATGCCTGCTCATCACTCTGTTCCCCATGGGACCCTCTCCAGAAAGCTGTGCTGGATGAGATCAGAGTGTCCTTGTGCATGGAAAGGGAGCCTCTAGGGTGCAGCCGCCCTAGGCACACACAGCATGGATTCTGGCACCACAGCCAGGAGGCAGCTGGCACCTGAGAGGGCCCCATAAAGTGGCTGACGCTTCTTCCGTTTGGGGAGATTCCGACTGCGAATGTACAGGATGACCCCCATGCTAAGTCTTCAGAGAGCCAGTCCCCAAGATCTCATTTTACAGGTAAGGAAACAGGCTTGGCGGGCCTGCCAGGACCTCAGGCTAGGCCGTTGGGTGCCAAGTCCAGTGTCTCTATCTGGGGACCAGTAGTTCTCAGCCCCAGCTGCACACTTGGGTCAAAGCAGCCCCGGGGTGCTGCTATCCAAGTCCCAGCCCGGACCGGTGGAGCCAGAGGCCCCAGCAGGTGGAGCCTGGGGATCAAGATGCTTGTGAAGGTTGCTCAGGGGGTTCTTCTCCAGGCAGGGCTGGTTGCCTTGCTGTCAGTCAGTGTGGAATCTTGGGGAGAGTGGCAAGACGTCGCCTGGTCAGACCTCTGTTGCAGGCTGTGGTTCTGGAAGTGGCTGTAACAGGGAGCCCTGCTCTTTGTGTTGAGTATCTCTGGGGTTGGGTGGGGAGGAATCCCACACCTCCCGGGGTGGCCCAGCCTCGTCTCCCATCTGTCCATTCCCATCACCCCAACCAAGCCAACTGCAGCGAGTAGGAATCTTTTTTTTTTTTTTTGCAAAGATTTTTTTGAGCATTTGTAAGTTGGTAAAAATCTTTCTTCCTTTTCTCAGCACACACTGTGGCTGCTGGGCCTCTTGTGAGTGTCCTTTAAGTTTCATCTTGGCCCTTGGTCTGTGTCCACTCACTCACTCCTCCAGGTGCACTCCTCCAGCACACATTTGCAGATCTCACCCTGAAAGCCAAAGGCTCATCTGCTTGGCCCACGTCAAACGTCTCCACCTGCCTGGTCCCTTGTGGAGGCAGGGATGCAGGGCTGGGTGGTGCAGGGCTGGGCAGTGCAGGGCTAGCTCTAAGGCAAGGCAGCGGGCATTGTGGCAAAGTGGATTAAGCTCTGCTTCCAATCCAGCTCCCTACTGATGTGCCTGGGAAAGTCGCAACCCCTACCACCCATGTGAGGGGTGGGGGCAAGATGGAGTTTCTGGCTCCAGGCTTTGGCTTGGACCAGCCCCAGCCATTGTGGTTCATTTGGGAAGTGAACGAAGGCATGGAAGATCTATGTCTGTCTGTCACTCGGCCTTTCAAATCAATCAGTCTTAAGAGGAAAAAATGACAGGCCTTGGCTTCTTCCTCCTTGTGGGAGACAAGGAGGCCACGTCGGAGCCCCGGCTCGAGTCCTCGCCAGGCAGGTGCTGCTGTGTGGGCACGCTGGGGAAGGTGAGCCGTATCCTTCTAGAACAGGGAGTCCTGAGCCTCCTTCCCTCTGCTGCCGCACTCGGCTGGCTTCCTCATCTGAAAAGGTGAGGTGAGGCTGTCAGAGTGAGGCCCACCCGAGCATCAGGGCTGTGGGGCTGGACGGGGGGGTGGTGGTGGGGTGGTGGCTCCTGTGTGACGCAGACAGACCTGGGTCTGGGAGGGATCCGGGACGCTCGGCCAGGGGACCACCCTGGGCTTGTTCCCCCGGGGTTTTGCTGGGCGATCTTGGTGGGTCATTTAGCCTCTTGGAGCCTCATGTGTAAAATGGGCATAAAACCATCACTACAGACTTGGCGCTGGCGTTAGGTATTGGAGGCAGAATTGCCTTGGAAGGGACAAAACCCTGCCCAGTGTACCAGCTTATCGTTGGCTTCTCTGTATCGAATCACCGGGTGGAAATCGCCTGCCTTGGGGCCTGGAGGAGATGGGAACTGACTCGGTTCTCCTCCTCCCTGCAGGGCCAGAGGCTGGAGCTGGCCTGCTTCCCCGCCCGTCTCCGAGCACCTCCAGGACGGACAGATCCCCTCTGCGAAGGCTGCTTCCGAAGACTCCTACTCATGGCCGGCCATTCCTGCCTTCGGTGAAGGGTGACACCCACGGGCTTCCAGGACAAGTCACGGGCCCTGAGGGGACCCTCTGGGGCTCGCTCCACATACCCCCAAGGCTGCAGGTGCAGCCCAGCCTCAGAGACCGACTCCTGTCCTGGCAACGCCCTTGGACTCCGTGGCCCCAGCTGGATGAGGCCCATCAGGAGCAGGACCCACCCCTGCCACCCAGCCAGCCTCCCCCAGCGGCCCCCGCCACCTCCTAGGCCTGGCTGCCTGGGCAGACTGTAGGATGTCCATGCCCCAGATCCAAGTAGAAGAAGTAGGTGGGGAAGAGGGGCCGGTGGGGGCAGCTGCACCGGCCGACGACCACCTCCGGAGCCTGAAGGCCCTCACCGAGAAACTGAGGCTGGAGACCCGCAGGCCGTCCTACCAGGAATGGCAGGCCAGGCTGGAAGAGCACACGTGGCCCTTCCCGAGGCCGGCTGCGGAGCCGGAGGCCAGCGCGGAGCAGGGGGAGCGTGCAGGGGAGGAGCCCCTGCCCCCACAGAGAGCGCCCCAGCAGCTTCCCACCCCAACCGGCAGTGCTGGCCAGGCCGAAGAAGGGCCCCTGGCCCCGGGCAAGCTGGAGGGCTTTCAGAGCATCGATGAAGCCCTGGCCTGGCTCAGGAAGGAACTGGTGAGTGGCCGCCCCCACTGAGCCCCCAGAAAAGAAAAGGTGCCTCTCTCTGGCTCGCTCCCACTGGGTGCTTCTCCCCCATCTCTGACCCTCCCAACTGTGCTCCTGTGACCTGTTGGTCAAGGGGTGGCCCTCTCCATGTGGTTTCAGGGGACTCAGCTGTCAGCCCCTGATGGCCGGCAGGGATGGAGGCAGCAGGTGTTCAGGTGGCTCCATCTTCCCTTCCCAGCACCACACCCGGCCCCTCACACTCTCACCCCGGGGCTTCTAAGGACCTCCTGCAGTGTAGCTGCCCCTCCTTTCTTCCTGAAGGCCGCTCCTCCTGCCATCTGCCCGGCTGCCTGCAGGCTCTGTGGGCACTCACTGGGGCGCCTTGGGGTGACCTTGGGGCGGGGGCTCGCGTGGGTCCCAGGTGTAGCTGTGCGTGCTGAGACTCTAAGCAGTGAGTGGTGGGCAAGGAGCAGGTGGGGCTGGTGTGACTTATCACGCCTGGGGTGGAGTCTGGGGGTGGGGAGGAGTCCCCCGGAGGTCAGGGCTGGGCTGAGGGTAGGCAGAGGGAAGGTCGCATTTGGGCTGGGAGGAGCAGCATGGACAGTTTCTCTGGCCACAGGCAAAGCAGATTCCCATCATGGATCTCTCACCACTGAGAGAATCTGAGCCTGAGCATGGCAGTGGGGGCGGGAGCTTCGTGCCCTGCCCCTCCCCAGGGGAGAACCTCTGGTCCCTGGCTTCGTGGCACAGCCAGGCTTGAAGCTCACCCTCCCTACACTCTCACTCCTGCCCTGACCTAGCACCTGGGGCCCAGGTAACACCTGCCAGGTCAGGCCAATCTGAGGCTAACTGCCTTCCAGAGCCAGCATTAACTCTTGTGGCGACAGGGTAGGAAGAGGTCTGCTTGATTTGTTTTGCAGAATCCTGAAAAATCCAATTCCCGTGGGGCTTGGAAATAATGGGGTTCGGGGCAGGAAGAGGCTTAGGGACTCGGGTGTCCGGTGAATTGGGAACTTTTTTGGTTGAATCCCTGAGGCTGAGAATGCTTCTCTGAACATGCCATTCTGTCGTGTCTGTCTTCAGTAGCCAAAGCGTGTGTGTGCTGCTGGCTTGCCTACAAGACCGCACAGTGGCTTCTTGCGCCACTGGGTGCTTGTGGGAGATGGACAGGCTGCACCCTAGGGTGGACCGCGGAAGCTGGTCCTTGGATTCCTGAGGCTAATCCGCTTTCATCTCTTTTCATAAAGAGGAACAAAAGCATTTATATTAATTAGCAAGGACATGTGTGGATTTGGGGCTCCTTTGAGATTTTACTGTTTCTGGAAGCAGAGGTGTTTGCTGTCTAAGTAAGTTAGTGTTCCCTGTGGGCATCCCTTTGGAGCAGTGATTAGAGGAGAGTAAACCAGTAGGGACTTCCCAGAGCTCCTCCCTGTCAGCCTGAGGACCAGGGAGCCTCCTCTTCACCCTGCTTGTGCCTTAGAACCATCCGGGGAGTGCCCAAGCCATGCCCAAGATCAATCAAATGAGGGGCTGGGGTTGGGGTGATTCCCAGCTTTCACGCGCTTGTGGGGTATGGGCAAGGCTGGGACCTCAGGAGTGTGCTCAGGACTCCTGTCGGCTGAGCAGCACGAAGTTTGCTGGCCGGGAATAGGCAGGCGGGCAGGCAGGCTGCGCCCCTTCCCCCAGGGGAGTGTGGAGAGTGGCCCTCCAGCAGGGCAACAGGGACTAACTTAGCTGCCAAAGCTTCTTCAATAGGGAGGGGGTATCAGCATGCATTACATGTGCATAGGAGTTTCCACTCTGCCAGCCACTTGTCCGAGCTCCCAGGGGTGGGTGATATTAGTGATGACAGGCTTGTCCTTGAGTGTTTTGGGTGCGCCAGCTACTTCAGTGCATCATTCGCCCCTTTCGATGGTCACATTGCCTTCCTGGGGCCCCTGTTTTCCAGAAGAGAAGGCGGAGAGAGGAATGCAACAAAAATGAGTGAGAATGGTGACATTGGAACCCTGGCCCACGGGGTTGCCTTTGCATTGCTACGTAGCAAAACAGATGGCCCACGGAGGATGCTACTTGAGTCCTGAAAATGTAAATTCCCAGAGGCAGAGAGAGAGAGAGAGAGAGAGAGGGAGAGAGAGAAGTCTTTATCCTCTGGTTCACTCCCCAAATGGCCACAGCAGCTGGAGCTGGGCTGATTCAAAGCCAGGAGCCGGGAGCTTCTTCTGGGTCTCCCATGCCGGTGCAGGGACCCAAGCACTTGGGCCATCTTCTACTGCTTTCCCAGAACATAGCAGAGAGCTGGATCGGAAGTGGAGCAGCCAGGACTCCAACCAGCTCCCATAGGGCATACCAGCACCACAGGCAGAGGCTTAGCTTACTATGCCATAGCGCCAGCCCCTCAGTTATGGTTTTGTGCCCAGCAGGCCATCTTTGGGTCTCCTGGGAGCCATGATGAAACCAGGGAGGCAGTTAGCAGCGTGGCTCAGTTCAGAAGTACATCTGTGGAAGCCTCCCTGTCTGCCTGTGTCTCCACTAGGCCAGCTAAAAGACAGAGTGACTGCCTGAACTTGACCTATTTCCAAGGCAAGGAAGCATCTGAAAGCTCCCTCAGGCTTTCCCTCCTGGTTTCCCCTGCCAAGAAGTTGATGGTAGCTGCTGATGCCCCCAGGGACCTGCCAGGGGATCACATTTCTCTCCATGCACTGGGGACACAAGGAAGGAGGGGACCCCTAAAGCCGGTGACTGGTGCTCCTCCAGCTGAGCCACCCTGCCACCTCCGGCGCCCAGGTGAACATGGAGACTGTCGCCACCTGGCTGTGGCAGGCAGGGCTCTGGGCTGTGCACTAGGTGGCTTCAAGCCCCCTGACGTCTCTAAGTCGGGGTCCAGTCTTGCTGTCCCTGGACGCAGTCTCGGGGTCCAGTGTAGTGGCCATTGTGCAGCCTGCTGGTTCCAGGGCACTCTGGTCCGGAGGCTCGCAGTCACCAGCTCTGCCTCCGCAGGTGGCCAGGAGACCGGGGTGGGGGTGATGTCTCCGGCAGGGATGAGCTGGGAAGGGCAAGACCCCATGCTGCAGGCCTGTCTCTAGAACATCCCGCCTGCACCTCTGCTGGGCTTTAGTGCTGGAGCTGGCTCCGTGGCCTGGGGCCTTGAGCATCCATCACTAGAGGAAAGGGACCCTCTTTGTGAGTTGTGACTTCAGTCATGCACGGAAGGTCCCCTGCCACCCTGGAGGAGGTGCTTGGTCTGTGCAGTGCCAAAACCAAAACAACATTCTGGCTTCCTGATGGATCATCTGTATGGGAAGCCCGGAGTCGGCAGATCTTTGCCTTTTAGTTTCACGCGGGTGTTTGATTCCCGCAGACAGAGCCCCCGGGAAGGTGTTTATGATGTTGGAGAAAGGGGGAGAAACCTGGCAAGTTCTCGTCTTCCAGGGCCTGCCGTGGCAGGAGGCCTGCAGACGGGACTCAGCCTGCTTGCCAGCCAGGAGCCCTTGCCCAGTTAACCCTCCCTTGCCCGTGCTGCGTATGACTCTGGGATGTCCAGGTTCAGTCGTCTGGGCCACTATTTCCTGTATCTGTTACCTAGTACGGCCAAGGGACAGGGCACAGCCAGTGTCTTCTGATGGAGATGGAAGGGATAGAGCCACGGCAGTTCCTCCCAGCCAGGAGCACTGGATGTTTCCCAAAGCACTTTCGCATCCTGCATCTGGTGAGAAGACTTGGAAGTGTTTGCTGCTCCCATTCTACAGATGAGAAGATTGACGCTCAGAGAGAGGACGGCCAAGGTCCATGCTAGGATATGGTTAAACCAAGACACAGTCCCGCACCACCTGGCTGTGGATCCAAATCCCTCTCCTTTGTGCTAGACACATCAAACATGCAAGTCAGTGGGGCCCCGGGCAGTCTGCATGAGTTTCAGCAACTCTGATTACAGAGCAGATCCTCGTGCGAGGTTGCAGAGGCTGCCAGCGGCGCCCTTGCCGACCCTTCCCAGGCCTGGGCAGCTGGCTCGTCTCAGCACCTCCCGGGCAGGCCCTCGCCGTGCTGGGGTTTCACTCACAAGACAGTCCCTTCCAGGCATCTGTTTGCCCGAGGTTCCGTCTTCCCAGCGGGGCCTGGGGCTTTCACACACACACGTGCCCAGAGGTGCCCCAGCAGGAACGGCTGTGCCAGAGGCCCAGCAAGAGCAGCCCAGCCCTGGCACTGGTTGTTTAGCCCCCATAAAGCCCCTCTCCCCACCTGCTCTCCAGGGCAGCGGCGGGGAAGGCGAGGGAGTCACCAGCCCCATGCTGATGAGCCCCCTCCTCTGCTTCGCCAGCCCTCACCAGAAGGGCCGCGCCTCCATGTCAGATCTGGCATTACCAGCTCTGCGCCTCCGGGCCAGCTGCTTGGCAATGAGGATAGTAACAGGATCCATCAGTCCTGCTGGTGAGGAACAATACGATGTCAGAGATAAGGGGTCAGCGGGACAGTGGTGGAAGCTGAGGTTGGTGACTAGCTCTGTCTCCAGAGCTGCTAGGGGACAGAGAAGGAGCAGGCAGGGCCGCCGCATTCAAGAGCCGCCACCTAGCAGGAGGCATCGGAGCGTGGGGTGGGAAGGAACAAAGGAAACAGAGTGCGTTGCTCAGTGGTTCTGATTATGTGGAGGGATAAAGTTGAGCTAATATTTATGGAACGTCATGTCCTGGACCCAGGGCTTTATGTATGTGTGTGTTTAATTTTCACCAGAAGTGGCATGACTGCATGCCCATTGGATGAGTTAATTATTATCAATATTTATCTAATAATTGAAGGAAGTATTATCGATAAGAGGGTGTTATGCCCACTTACGAGATAAAGAGGTTGATGTTCAGAGGCCGGGTGACTTTCAGGGTCACGTCAGCCACAGGTTTTGCAGAAGGACTTTGAGCCCGTGAGCTGCTGCTCTGTTCTCTACTCACTGCCTCTGCAGGGCTCTGAGGGCGCGGAGGTCAGCCTGGGCTGGGGTCAGGTCCGACTTCTCCAGGATGCTC